CCTTAGAAGCTTCCAGGAAAAGAAGAGCCCAGGAAAGAAGATGAAAAGAGCAGACACCATAGTGGAGCAGCCCCAGCTCATCCCAGACTGAGACACTGAAAGAGCTTCCCATTGTTTCTCCTTCTTCTCAGAACTTTTGTCCTTTTTCCTCTTGGCAAGCTGCGTGGGCCTGCCACAGGGTGAAGTGCTTGCTAACTCCTGTTTGAACACAAAGGGTGTTGGGGTTATTGCCACATGCCTGGGTGAGGTGAGGTGAAGGAGAAGAAGCATCCTCTTTGCGTGTCTGTCTGTGGGAGAGCCCCACAGAGAAGTCTCCCCTGCAAGGGCTGGGGATGAGCCAATCGCTTCAGCTCAAAAGAGCCTCAGTGATAGACAATTGATTTACCTCTTTACATGTAGTTTGATGCCTGATGCTTAGCAAAGGTCATTGGAGATGGTCTGTAAGAAGAGATGCTAAAGGAGACTGTGAAAAGCAGGTGTCTGACTTTCTTCCTATTTTTTCTCCTTTGCAGAGCTTCTTGAGAAACACTACAGGGCCTTGCCTTCATCAAAGAACAATGATAGGCATTGTATAGCTTATCCTGGGAAAGACACTGAAAGAACCAGAGAGAGTCAGGCATAGGCTGCAGTGTTACAGCTGGAAGGAATCTTAGGGAGCATTAAGTCCAAGTTCACCTGGCTAATTAACGCTAGTTTACAACAGAGGTGGGGAAATTCATCTGCTGACACACTTGTCTTCAATAGGCTCTTATTTATTTATTTATTATTTTTTGTGATTTAATCCTCACCTGAGGATATTTTTCCTTTGATTTTTTTAAAGAGAGAGTGGAATGGAGGGGGAGAGGCACAGAGAGAAAAACATTGTTGTGAGAGAGACACTTTGATTGGTAATCCTCACCTGAGGATATTTTTCCTTTGATTTTTTAAAGAGAGAGTGGAATGGAGGGGTAGAGACACAGAGAGAAAAACACCGATGTGAGAGAGACACTTTGATTGCTTGCCTTTTACAGGAGCCCCTGACCAGGGCTGGGGATGAGCCTGCAACAGAGGTACATGCCCAGGACTCTTCAGTCTGCAGGCCTACAATCTATCCACTGAACCAAACGGGCCAGGGCTTATCGAGACTCTTAATGACAATTTTGCTGACATTGTTTTTGAACAAAATAAATCACAGGTGGTCTTCTGTGGACAGGGACTAGCCCATTGGCGAGTTACAGCAGGGTGCCCAGGTGCTGGGTGAGAGTTCAGGGGCCCCTGGAGAGGAGGGAGGAGCTGTGGACTCCCTTTGGAAGGAAGCTCTCTCAGATACAGATTGAGATGGGGTCCTTACCTCCTGTGGACCTTTGTAGATTTCAATGGAAAAACCTTTTTATTTTTCCTACTGGTCTTGGCTCTTCTTTTGATTCATTTTTAAAGTAAGAGCAGCAGTGGAAGGCTGGATGTTTTTCTCCTTGTTTAGCCTGAAGGCCATGTGCAGTTTTGGTAGTTAACCTCATAAATAAAGTCCTTTGAAAAAGAGCACGCCTGTTTTTGTCAAACTTGGCAAATCCTGAGATTCAGCATTTTCCCAGGGATCTTCGCTCAGTAGAAAATGACAGAGAGTGAGGGCTGGGAGCACTGTCTTCTCCTGGTGGTGCCGGAAGCCGGTCCACCCTTGCTGCTTGACACAGTCGCTGCAGGGAAGAAACATCTGCATAGCTTATGTTTCAAGGGACCTGGTGTATATGGCATGTTTGCTCCCCCTCTTAGAGCTATGTGTTTTAACCAGGACCACCTCCCTGAGAAAGGTTGTTTCCCCAGGTGGGGATTTTCCCCTGGAGTTAGGGATTACCAGGACTAAGGAAGGGAATAAATCAGTAAAACCCCTTAACTAAGTGCCAAGCAGGTAGTTAATCACTTTAACTACGAACAATGACGCTTAAGCTACATAATCTTTACTTAGGATAATCTCCTTCAGTTACTTCCTTGTAGCTTAACAGAACAGTAGAGTAGTGACCTTGGAATGGAGATAACAAACGCCCTAACCTTTGGAATAGAATGGATAGGATTAAAATCAAATGGTATAAATACAGATGTAACAGGAGAATAAAGGGAGAACCTGGCTAGAGAACCTATCTACAGAACCTGGCTGGAGAACCTGACTAGAGAACCTGGCTAGGCTGCTGATGAACTGAACGCTGTCTCTGTGTCATTTCTTCTTTGCCGACTCCATCCACACCTTTGGGAACCTCTGGACCTACTGGGGCTGGACCCCAACATGGTGGTAATTTGTTTTGGCTTCCACAGGACTTAGGCTGCACACATGGCCTCCAGGGGCGCCATCCTAGGATGTGAATGGAACCCCAGTGTTGGGACCCTGGTCCTGAGTCACTGAGGTGCACATTTGGGTAGCAGAGGGTCCTTTGGAGGAAGCTTTCAAACTGTCCCTCTCAGACCCCTCCCTCCCCTTGGCTTGCTTTACCGCTGGGAGAATTAGTTGCCCAGTTAGTCCCCAAACATCCTTTTCTGTTTTTTCATTCTCTCACTTGAGGTCAGGGCCTCTCCTTTCGTTATCCCTGAGATCACCTCACTCTGGGTTGGGGCCCTGCTCTGGAAGTGGAGCTTGGACACAGACCCCTTTCCTTCTCACCCCTCAGGACAGCTGAGAAAGGGTGGTGTTTTTCAAAGAGAACTTTTGTGGTGTTTATGCTAATGAACCTGTAATAAAGAACACCTACATTTTTTTCCCTAAAATTTTTCTAAATGGGAAAACTTTTAAAATCCAGGCATAAAGAGGACTAATAAGGTAGGTTAGGGAGAAATGTTACTTAGAAAATATTAGCTAAAAGAAACAACTTAAAAGGAACCTAAAGTTAAGTACTGAGTTTTCTATGTCAGGGCAAAAGAAGAGGCACATGAGTATGTAGCTACAATTGAAGGGAGAAAATGCATTTGTTTGAAGAGAAATTTCCTTCCTACAATTCCAGTGGCAAAAATAATACATCTAATGGGATATATTTTTAAAAAATATATATGTATTTTTGCCTCTCTGAGTTCATGACTTCCTTCTCAGCTAAGGATATCCATCTGCCTGTAGGTATGTTAGAAATGTTACAGAAGGAATGAAAAGAGAAGGTACAGATTAATATTCAGTTTCTGGCATGCAAAACAGGAGCCAGTAAGACAATAGGCTTGAAAACCAGGCATTTTAGAGTGATAAAGTATTTATTAAGTTAATCTAGGTGCTACCTAACAAATCAAGGGCTAAGCTGGTAGGATTCATCTTCTGTTATGTGGAGAAAGCACACTTATTCAAGAGATGATTCAGCTCATAGAGTTCTTTCAATGTGTAGAAAAAAAACAACAACCCTTTGTTTTCAATGAAGTTTAGCCACACCATTAGAGAGGAAGAAGATTCAGCTCATAGAGTTCTTTCAATGTGTAGAAAAAACACCCTTTGTTTGCAATGAAGTTTAGCTACATGATGAGAGAGGAAGAGTGACTTACAGTACCCAAAGGGTGGTCCCAGATCAGTGGGACCAGCATCTTTTGGGAACTTGTTAGCAATGCAAATTCTCTGGTCCCAAATCAGATTTACTAAGCAGAAACTCTAGGAATAGGGCTCAGCAATGCATTTTTTTTAACAAGCTCTCTGGGCATTTCTGATACACACACACTAAGATTTGAGAACCATTGATAGAGGACATCACCCTTTTCAATCCAGGGCATTTGGGAGGATAGAGGAAAGAGGCATGACAGATGTATGTTTCTATTTTTCTCTTCTCAAAGCTTCAGCTCAGAAATGGAAGGAGTTTGAGATAATGAGAATGACACAGGGTTCTCTCATGCACGCTCCTATTTGAAACTCTGTGTGGTGACCATCTCTTAGGTTGGCCTACACCTACTACACCAACTGAGGATGCCACGGAACTGGAAACTCTATGGAAGAGAATTTGGTATTGCTTTATGGTTAGGATGAGAAGCTTTAAACTTTAGTTTTTCTAAGCATCCCATAAGTCCCCTGTGGCACAGATAGGTCCCAGACTTAGCTGAGAATCCAGCTAGGAGGTTTTCCAAAGGTGCAAGTCTGTTAGGGGGTGAAGTGGCTTTGAGCAAGGGTTGCAAAGTAGGTTTTCCAGGTCAAAGCAATGGGAGGCATAGTCATATCTGAGAGGAGTCTCCAGAATCAGAGAGATTCCTACCTAACCAGGCTCTCTCTTGCCAAGCTGAAAGAAAATGACACTGGCCACAGGGTGGACAAGGGACATTGCTCAAAGTCCAAGACTAAGTCACCCCTCCCTTTCCCCATTACATGAGTTAATACATTCCCTTTTTACTCTAGTCAATTTAATAGTTTTTTGTCACCTGCAATGGAATATGTCTGGGAAATATGCCTCTTAAACTCACTAATGCAAAATGAAGCTCATCTTTCCCAGTCTGGCCCTGCTCTGTATTCCATTTCATTAATGATACTCCCTTCCATCCCATTATCTAGGCCAAATACCTGGGTTTCATCATTAATTTTTATTTCCTTTCCCTACTTGTCTGGCCCTGCTCTGTATTCCATTTCATTAATGATACCCCCTTCCATCCCATTATCTAGGCCAAATATCTGGGTTTCATCATTGGCTCTTTTATTTCCTTTCCCCTCTCCCCCTTTTCCTCTTGGATCTGACCACTTTTCTTTATCCCACCCTAGTTCAGGCTTCCATAACCTCCCTGGATTATTGCATTAGCTTCCTGACAAGTGTGACTGCCATCAATTCCATCCTCAACATTTCTACCGTACTTTATAGTACCTCTCTTAGACATTATTTCACTTCATTGTAATTTTTTGTAGACATGTCCATTTATGCAGAATCCCTAAAAGCAGAGATCATATTTTTTCACTCTTGAATCCCTCTCAGTTAGCAAATATGCCACATAGCAGATGCTTAATAAAGAGATGCTCAATAAGCAAATGCTATGGAATTTATGTCACGATTTTATTTTCTTTACCTTTTTATTTCTATTTTACACAGCAAGTTTATTTTTCTAAAGGTATATAAACAATAAACAAAGTGAACATTCAATCAGATCTTAACTGCCAAGTATTATCTGTCCTGGAACTGTTCCATTAAGTTCCAGTCTATGCATCTTAAATTCAATAATCGTCATCTTCATCAGAGTCCATTACTTTTCTTCTGTTGAATTTAACTGTGGTTTTCTTTTCTGTTTGTTGGCTTACTTTTTCAAGGATTTCTATTAAACCTTGTTCTGTTACCTTCCCATTTAGTTGTCCATATCTTGCCATCTGTATAAGGTAATTCTCTACTCCTTTAGTTTTTTCGGGTTTTACAAGTGCTAAGTTACTTAACCGGGCCCGGGCTGACTGATCCAGAACTTGGGCTAAGATACTGTTTCTCATTTCTGCTTCTCTGTGCTTTGCTTCCTGTTGTGCTGCATCGCCAGGATCCCCGTGCTTGGCCTGCAGCTCCGCCAGCCTCTGCTTCCGCAGAGCCTCCAGCTCCTCCGCCATGGTGCGACCGACGGGGGAGAGCAGCCAAGCACCCCGCTCCGGCCCACTCGGCGTTACTCCCTCAGCGGCGGGGCGAACGCCTCCCATTTATTCTGATTCTTGAGACTGCATTTCTTTCTTTTTTTCTTTTTAAAAAATATATTTTTAATGATTTTTAGAGAGAGAGGAAGGGAGCGGGAAAGAGAGACAGAAACATGGATGAGAGAGGAACGCATGGGTGATAAATGGGAGAATTGGGATTTGGAACTAGGATCTTCTGATTCTGAAGACTGTATCTTTAACCACTAGCCAGCACTTCTTTAATTGTGTTACATAGCCCTGGGGTTCTACAGTTATGCCTTACAAGCAGCTGTAAAGGAAGGAGCAGGAGAAGGCGGTGATGAGGGGGAGACAAACTCTATGAAATTGTGGGTCCCTGAGGGCCACTTCAACCAGAACATCTATGCCTTTATCTCTTTTATAAATGGAGGTTCTGCAGAAGACTTTTCTGGTGCAAGTGGTTGGAACATGTTGGAAGCTACGGCATTACTTGATACTGATATTCAAGTGAAACTTCTCTGTCACGAATCCTTTCTTTCTCATTTATTCTGATTTTTGAGGCTGCATTTCTTTCTTTTTTCTTTTAAAAAAATATATTTTTAATGATTTTTAGAGAGAGAGGAAGGGAGCGGGAAAGAGAGACAGAAACATGGATGAGAGAGGAACATCATCAATCGGCTGCCTCTTGCATGCCCCCTACTGGGGATCAAGTCTGCAACCTGAGCATGTGCCCTGACTGGAATCTAACGGGTGAACTCTTGGTTCCTGGGTCAACGCTCAACTGCTGAGCCACACTGGCTGGGCTTAAGGCGGCATTTCCCTGAAGATACCGAGGGAGCATTTGACTGACATCTAGAGTTAGCTCCTCCAGCTTGTATTGTTGGTAGTTCCTGCTTATGAAATAAAAGACTGTACAAAGTTTCCTTAGCTGTCCTCTGACTTACATGAAACAGAGTGGGTGGGTATAATAGTATACTCCACCTAAGCCTGCCTGCTCCTTATCTCAGATATTAGATTTAGGGAGTTGCAATTTATTCTGGTGGAAAGCTGGCATAGGATACTGAGGGAGATTCAGGAGATGGGTCTGAGGAACTTGAAAAGATAAAAGAAAAAGTGAAACAAAGAAAAGAAATGTAAAGGGAGGAGAAGAGTTTTCAAAGTGCAGGTTCCACTCTCAATAAAATTAGTTGTGAATTTGATGCAGCATGAACTTCCTTTCATCGCAGGTATTTGTTCTCAAGCTGTAGACTGGTTGGCATAAGTCTCTATCATCTGCCTGATTTCTTCTCTTCCTAGCCTGTTGTCTTTTTTCACTTAGACACCATCTAGTTTCCTGACATTCAGGGGCAATCAGCCTACACATGTATTTATGCACTGGCTTCAGCACCTTTCCCCAGATGTAAGCCTCCTGTACTTCTGGGGATTTTGTTTCATTTCTATTTCCAGACTCCTTTCCCTAATCATGTTGGTCAATGCTATTGGGCTTCAGTGAAGACTCATGTTCCTAGCCTGGGCCATCCTGGTACAGTAGTCTCCCCTTAGCTATGGTCCGCTTTCTGTGGTTTTAATTACCCATGATCTGAAAATATTAAATAGAAAATTCGTGAAATTAACATTTTATAAGTTTTAAATTGTATATTGTTCTGAGTAGCATGATGAGATCTCATGGTATTCTGCATGGTCCTGCCACAGACATGAATAATCCTTTGTCCAGTGTATCCACACTGTATATGCTACCTGCCCATTAGTTACTTATTAGCCTTCTCTGTTATCAGATTGGTTATGAGAGAGAGAGAGAGAGAGACAGAGAGAGATCACATTAATATAACTTTTATTATAAGTATTGTAATAATTGTTCTATTTTATTAGTCGATTTTTTTATTAATCACTTAGAGTGCCTAATTTGTAAACTAAACTTTATAAATGCTATGTATGTATAGGAAAAAGCATATTACATATAAGGTTTGGTACTACCCAGGGTTTCAGGTAACCACTGGGGGTCTTGGATGGTGTCTCCTGAGGATAAGGAAGGACTACTGTAACTGCATAAATTCCAAGGAATTTGTTCTCTAGGAATATGCTTTTACATTGTGGCCTTTGGGAAGCCACTCTGAGTTGTTATTTGTAACTGAAAGTTAAATTAATTAATGCTTCTAATGAATTAGGTGTGTTTGATTGGAGGTGTTTTGTGCGCAAGTCCCATTAATGTGGGGGATTTATATAGTAGATTCAAATCTCAGGAAATGTTTGTATTAGGTGACCTCCTAGGTCTTTTGATCTATTTATTTCTTTTTCAACTCTTTTGAACTCTACCACTCTTCATTTTGAGCCATGGAGGAGGGCCACCATTGGTACCAGTACCCTCCAGTTCATAGGTCGCAATTAAGGGAGATTTAAATACAGAATTACATCTAGTCATAGCTACAAATATGGATGCCACTTAGAGACAGATTAAGGAAGAATGTGGGGAGGTGGTGGGTAAGGGAAGTGTTGCCAGGTTGACCCCTCTCCCATGTGCTTGTGCATGGAGTGACTTATATTACCATGAGGTCTTAGCGATTTGGGTAAAAAGTAATAAAAACTGTTGTTGATGGCAATTGCTTATTATTGTTGTTGTTCTCTTCATTTAGATACTTTTATAAAGAAAAGTTTCTCAAAAGGCCTGCGGAGATCTGAGGACCAAGCATGTCTGATGAGTGGTGGTAGCATCTGTAATCTTGGTGCCTTTCCTGAGTAAAATAAAATTGAAGAATGTCATATACCCAAAAGCATGACACAAAATTAATCAAACTTACTACCTCTTTTCTTCAGGGATTCCTAAATCCTAAATCTCAGCCTTTTGAAAGTTACTGCAAAGATCATAAGGGATAAAAATGGCTAAATTAAAACCCATGGAAGAGTATTAATTTAAATTATGATAATATGACCTATTAAAGAAATGTACTCTGGTCTCCCACCAGACCAGGCTAACATCAATCAATTTTTGTAAATCATTCGGGAAGAAAATGGAAGTTACTTACACTAGTGATCAGAAATTTAAAATAAGTGAAACTAGCTACCTTTCTTTTAATGCTATTTATACAGAGAGTGATCATTTCTGCCATTTTTCTCTAGCTTCCTACATTTTGCCTAAACTTTACACTTAGGTGAAAAAATGATAAAAACATTATAAATTCAGAGAGATGCCAAGTAGATTCCTGCTCACATCTGGAGGAACAGATAGAACCTGACACAGGTGCTCCTCTTACCTTCACCACCATTTGCAAAGGAACATGGTCCCCATCCAACCCCTCCCATCTTGCTTTTAAGTTCAATAGGCAGACAGCTATGATATTTTAAGTGGAGAACTTATGACCAGGGTTGAAGTAGTTTTATCTAGCATGCTGAACAAAATTTTAAGTGATCAGAGATTTGGGTAGAGTTTGAAACAAAACAAACAAACAAAACTTTAAGTTGGGAGTAGACATTGGAGAAAGAATAAATGAATGCATATAATAAGGTGCCAAGATCACAAAGATAATGTCTTAAAAATGATCTATGACACCATAATGATGTAATTTTACATTGAGGAGCCTTGGCCAGTTGGGGTAAAAATGCAAACATGTTTTGTTTCTAATGTTGCAGTTAGTTAAACTCTATTAAACTTACTTTTCATTCATTCTACAAATATTTATTGAGAGCTTATTATATATTAAGCACTATTTTAGGTGCTGGGGATACAGTGATATCTATGTATATAAAAGCCTAAGTGATCGAATGGCTGGTTGCTATGACATGCACTGACCACCAGGGGGCAGATGCTCAATGCAGGAGCTGCCCCCTGGTGGTCAGTGTGCTCCCACAACCAACCTCCTGTGCCCCCTCCCCCCGCCGGCCAACCTCCTGCAGTCCCGAACAGCCCCAATCACTGGCTAGGCCGAGGGACCCCACCTGTGCACGAATTCATGCACCAGGCCTCTAGTATAAAATAAAATCCTTGCCCTCATGGGTCTTGTACTCGTTAGATAATAGTTCCCTTCATTAATCTGATTCCACACTTTTTCAGATACTTTGGTTTATTTTAAAGCCACTCGATCTACTAAAAATCTCTTTGTTTTGGGTTATTCTGTGCTATACTTAATGCTAGATACAATGCGTTAAGTGCAAGTCAGTCAATCCTAGTACAAAGAAAGCTATAGAGGTAAATTTTTGTCTTTGGAATGTTGGCAGCAGGGCAAGCAACTAGGACAGAGACTGGGTGTAGGATAAGTAGGACAAAAAGACCAGGTAAAAAGCACAGATAACAGGATACTAGTGATTTGAGGGGAGTGCCAGAAACTGGCAGCGGGAACTTAGTGAGACGTATAGAGTTGGTGGGGAGAAGCTTGATACTGAAGGCCCATGAAGAAGTCCCTGAACCAGAATCGGGTAGGGAAACGGAAGAGGCATAAATAACCAATGATACTCAGGCGTGTGTGTCAGCAACAAGTATAAGTAAACAATAGGGTATAACACAAGGTCAAGTGTACTGGGGAAATAGCCAGAGACTAGTAGAAACTGAAAGAGAAGAGGCCAGAGGTAGCTGGAATAGGCATTATCTGGGATTGAGGACCAGGTTGTCTGGGCAAGTGAGATGACACTTATAGGGACAAGCAATACAGGAGGAGGTTGCACAAGGGAAGGCAGGAAAACCTAAGTTGGAACTGGAAAGTGCTTATGCAAACAGATTGAGTATTGAGACTGGAAAGTCTGAATCAAAGACAGAAGATTGTGGGGTTGGAAGGAAGGTGAGACCATGGGTCCGGATGTGGACAGGAAGTTCAGGGGTCCTTTTTACAGGAGGAGTAGGCTAGTTTGAGGAAGTCTAGTGGACTGGGTAGCATGGGGTTGGAAAATCTTGGTTGAGAATTGGAAGTTGACAAGCAAGAACAGTTTTGGGGGGCATCTTTGAGCATATGGGGCCTCTTCACTGGGGGATAGTCCTCCTTGCAAAGGACCCAGTTCTGATGAAGGAAGCTAACATTTATGATCATTGGTGTGCATCAGGCTGTATTAAAGACA